ATATATATATATAAAGTGACTAGTTTAACTGGCATCCTGCTTTAGCTTGAGACTTGCCTAAGAAACTGCTGAGTCCTTGGCAGACCTTTTCCTAGTTTAATTCTCCATCTGTTCTGGGTAGCTGTTGAGCAAGGCAAATACGTTTGATCTTGATACTTCAGATGGGCTTTTATGCACTGTTGCCAGGGAAGGCTTTTTCTGATTTTTTGACAAATTTTTGCACACTTTAATTGGTGTCTTTATCGGCAACTTAAAACACATTGAAGATATGAGCTATTGTACATATTTTTATATTCTCTTTATAAACGCATGTCTGACTGTACTTGTACAATATTGTCATGAATGGCTGTCCAATAGGCCTAGGGTTCCTGTCATGAGAGGAACAGCATATCATGAGCCCCTCAGCATCCTGGGAACTTCTTCCTGAACAAAGAATGTAAATTTGGTTAAGTCTACTCTTAGTTCATTGAATTATTTTAGCCATTTGGATTATTTATTGTATATCCTAAATACACTTGGAGCAGTGACTAGATTTCCACTAATGTGTCTTAACTGAGCCCCTCAGCTAGCAGGTTTTTTTTTTTTTAAAGATCCCTTGAAGTCCTGTAGGACACACAGTTTTTGCTATTCATCCCTCTGAGTAAGACGGTAGTGGCGTGGGTGGGGTGTGTGTTGTTTCTCCAGATCTACAATGTTCATTAAACACTTCCCGTAGCAGGATGGTGGTGGTTCTTTTATCCCTGAAGTCACCCTTCCCTGTGGCTGTCTGACTAGGAGATGTACTTGAACGTTTCTGTAAACCTTGAGATCAACTGTTTTGGAGATTTTAACCACCTCTCTGATGGGGGACCAACTCTATGGAAATTGTAAATAAGTTTTATTTATAAACCTGGCACTGTATTCAATAAACATTTCTGCAGCCTTTCATCTCTAACTGTGAACTGTGTAGCTTTGTAGCTTGCATAGTTTCCAGTCCCCCTGGCTCTGCACAAGACTTCCCTGCCCTCAAGTGGAATTGCCCCTGGATCCAGCAAGCAGCTGAGGGTGAGGGGCCAGAGAGAGTGCTTGCCCAACATGCTTGCCCTGAGTTTGGTCTCCATCACCAGATAGGATAAATTGGCATGGTGATACCTGCCTGTAAAAGCCCAGCAGATCCAGAGGCAGGAGGATCAGGGGTTCACGGTCATCCTCAACCACATAGTTTGAGGCCAACCTGATCTGTAAAACTGTAGAAACACTGGTTAACCTTAAGAGGGTTGGCACTGAGGAAAAGTGGGGTGGGGTATAGGTTTCACGCAGATCCCATTGTTGAAGCTCCCATGGTGCTGTCCCAGACTATGATTCCCAGATGGTTCCTATGGTTTTCAGAAGGATCTTACCTAGGCTCCTTCTCCCAGATAACCTCTGATTCATCACAGGCACAGGATGTAAGAGAAAAGATCACAGGATAAGCCGCTTAGGCCAGAAGAAAGCTTAAACCACACATGGGTGAGGGGTGGTATGTAAACAGCCCCTTCTGTGCACTGAAGCAGGGACCACAGGAACATGGGCACTATGGGGACAGTTGGTCACAGACTAGGGCTGGGTTCAGGTTTGAGTCTCTCTAACCTTGGGCAGGTTCCCTACCACCATGTGGCCTCACATCCCTCCTGAGTAAGATGATTGGACCAGCACCTTTCTGTGGCTCTCTAGGGTTCCAGCCAAGCTGTTCAGGTATCACTTGATGTTTAAATTTGTCCAAATCACAGCCGAAAGAGTGGAAGTTGGGGCTAGAGAGATGGCTTAGCGGTTAAGAACACTGCTCTTGCAGAGGACCCAGGTTCAATTCCCAGCACCCACATGGCAGCTAACAACCATTCTTAACTTCAGTTCCAGGGGATCCAGCGCCCTCTTCTGACCTCCTTGAGCATTGCATGACACGGGTGCACGTGAATGTATCCAGGCAATACACTCATACACATAAAAGTTTAAAAAGTTTTTAAGTGGGAGCCAAAATCTCTTAGGACTTGATGTATCTCTCTTGAAATGACAAATGGCACTTTAACATTTTCGGTGGCTTCATGTAGGGGATGGAACAGAGGTTAAGCTTGCTATTAAGACTATGATGCAATATTGGGTCAGAAAAACTGATAATTAAGTGACTTCCATTCTCCTCCCAGGATGGAAATTGGAAGCCACCACTGGGCCTGTGAGAGGTTCGGTCCAAGTGACTGTGTCATCTGGTTTAGGAAAAAAACCCCACATATTTCCGATCTAAGCTGAACTTTCATGGGCACTGGGGGGCTGGAATACCCAGTGACTCAGGATGCCTTAGAAGGAAATAAAGCTTTTTATAGCTTGGC